TGAAGGTCCCTCTAACAATGTTATCTCAGGAGATTCATCGAAACCCAGTTTCTCTTCGTATCTACAAAATTAATAACTTATAAAAGGTAAATTATTGAAGAATGACAATAAAACGGGCGTACTAATAGCATAAAATATATCGAAAAAAAGAAGCTTAAACTACACAATTTGTATTAGAGTACGAGATCAAAACAGGCGCCAAGTTGAAATAAACCCGAGAATTGAAGTGGCTGTAGATAAAGCGTGAAACGAATGCAGTTGTGGCGCAACAGCGCCGCCTTTGAGTGATTGTTTTTATATTTTCAGCCTCCCTCATACCGCATTCAGTGGTTTCTAAATAGGACACTTAGTAATATTATTTGTCCTTTTCTCTCTTCGCTACAAGGCCTCCAACTTTGGAGTTAAAGAGCCCAAGTGTTTATGTTTTATAGACAATCCGCGTCCTTTGGAATACTAAACCCCAATTCATTTATATTTGTTGTCCTGCAATATTGACGCACATGATTTATTAAACGTATATTGTATGCATGCGATGCTCTTGAATTGCGTGAAGTGTAAGTCTAAAGAATATTTGGAGGTAATGAAGTCTTCTTTTACTCGGCGGTACTTATCGTTCCTTCTCTATCTCTAGTCCTATCCTAGCCATAAATAGTTTCCACTTAATTCATCACACTCATTCATCCTATTCAATTGTTAACTGCTTTTGCTGAGTTCTAAAGATTCCTTAATTTTCCACTTACTCCATATCCAACAAAGCGCTCGCCATTAGACCAGTCTATCTGGTATTCAAGACGAGCCAAGTGCCGGGCCAATTCCTATTTTCAGATCTACAAACATTTGCAGGCTGTTTTGTGATCAGATAACCTCTTATGTATGCGCCTGTAGGTCTTTCCTACATAGGCGCTGCAGCATAAACATACAATTTTGCAGCAGCTCGATCTGAAGAGGATCATAATATTATTTAAAAGAAAGCACTATTGGGGGAACTCATTTTCTCTTAATAAATAGTCCTGATGTCAGATGTCCTTAATAATTCGTCTTTTCTTCGAGATATTACACGAGAGTAGCATAAGGACCCTGGTATAGTGATCTACCCTTTCACCCAGCTCCAACCATGTATTCCCTTTCATCTTATTTGACAATAATATAAAATCATCAATCACTCCTTGTGTATAATTATTCCCAATGAAAATTCTCTATAGTCGTCTCAATTCTCGATCTCGAAGACTAACATTTACAAGACAAAAGCTTCTTATTATCAGACTTGATAATTCCTACTTTGATTCCAGCCCATAGATTTGGGAGGAAAAGACTGCAGTTTCGACCTCGCATAGGTCTTATCAACAAGCCCAGCGGGAGTCGAACTGTGACAATGCAGAATGTGAGCTTGACACGTTAATCACTCGGCCACATTGCCACGAGTAAATCAGTAATATGAGATGTATTCACTATTTCGTCATCACCTTAAACGAAAAAGGGTGAATACATCTCATATTACTGATTTACTGTTAGTCTCGAAACTCTAATTACACGCGAAAAATAAGTAACGTAGTCGATTGTTATAACAAATATACGTTTGCTCCATCGACAATCCCACCAAAAGAATGTGATATGGGAAAAGAAATGCTCTTCCTTGAAATTCACATCTGCCCTGTGGCCAAAGGGCGTTCGTGGCAATGTGGCCTAGTGGGTGACGTGTCAAGTTCACATTCTGCACTGTGAACTGCCGTCCACCCTGGATGAGAACGACTTTTGGGAAAGCAATGCTATGTGAAAGTCAATGGAAAGGTCAGCTCTACTTGTATCATTGGGGAAAAAAATTTTACTACCAGACATTCATTAGCTTAAACGAAATAGAGTGAATACACTTCATATTATGTATATCTCGTCGACTAACATAATGAATTTTCGTATTTGAGTAGTTTCGAGACTACCAATAAATCAGTAATATGAGAAGTATTCACCCTATTTTATCTAAGGTGACTTAACGAATCCATAAGAATTGTTAACTGAAAGCCACCAAATCTCGAAGATTTACTTTAACTGATGAATAATAAATCGAGGTTTTATGCCTCAGGCCGCAGTTATTATTAGCCTGACACCCTGAAGAATCCTGTTCACCTTCCACTTCTATAGTTCGCCGTTTATTACCCAATGTAGCAGGCCAGTTTTAAGTCTAAGCTATGTATGGCACTTAGTGATTACCTTGTATGTGCCAATGTCATCTAATGCCTGCATCGTTTTTCTACATAACTCAACCAATCCATAACAATCACTGCTTCTTCTTTGTTTGCCCACAACACTATTTGGTCCTTATCACTTTGTTTCCTTATGATATTTTTCACTCTTATTCCTAGGTGATATTCGTAGACGGTTATAAAGTAGTTCAATACCATTCCTTGTCCATTCTGAGAGATGGTTGATAAAACTTATTAGTTCCACTACTATCTCATCCCTATTATCCTTACTGTTTGAGAGAGCAAAGCTAAAACCTTATGAGAGAAATTGCTCGGTAATAACATTTAACGCAATTATGGAAAGGTTTACCACCTCATCAATTATAATTAACTTCCTAGCATCTACCTTTAACGTATTTCGATTGACCGATGTCCCGATTCTTATACCCAAACTCTTAAGCTCAGTATCATGTTTGTATATTAATTGCTAAAAAACTATAGTATAGCTTGCCCACCATTATTTGTCATTTAAATAAGACCTCCAGACTGAGTCAGCCAATTATAAGCAATCCTCCTTTGGAAAATTTGGTCCATCAATATCAAATTTCGGAAAAACCTGTGATAAGCATGATTTTAAAAAAATAATAATTAACTTGCCTAGCCAGTGGATTGTTGGTCTTGGCGTATGATATCACCATTCCAGAAAATCATAACTTTTCATCAAGAGCACTGGCACGGCTTTTTGAAACTATGTATATCAAGTAGGATCGTTCCTAAATTTTGTATCATTGATAGACCAAATTTTCCGAAGGATTGCGTATCATTGTCTAGCCCTCTTAGCCAGGAAGGATGCAGAAAAATAGTGCATCTAAGAATTCAGGATCAGTCGTATTACTAATATTAGTATAACAATAAATTTATTCTTTTTAGTAAAATGAGGAAAATGGTTAATTTGGTAACACCCAGTAGAATAAAATATAGCAGAGGGAAGAGTCATCGAATTGCGTATAATTATCTCACCTCTACAAGTTCGGCCCGAGTAATTGACGGAGGGAGAGATCGGAAAAAAATAGAAGTAGTTTTATGTAACTGGCGGCGAGTCTTTTTCTCCAAACCAGGATCATTCGATTGTTTTGTTTTACCCGCGTCAGCTTCAAGACCATTTAACTTGACACATCGCGATGATAAAGGATCCTGAATTAAAATGACATGAGATAAATACCCAATCATATTTATTGGCATGCATATAATATTAAGTAGTAACTCAAGTAAAAAGGCGAAGCTAAAATTATTACTAATTTCGTTAATAATGTATTAGGAGCACAGTCAATTCCGTTGTAAAATGTTTAAAAGTGAAGCCGACACTAAAATATAAACTATATTGGGAAGTAGGATTAGGATGTAGCTCCTAAAATATCAATTTTGAGCAGACTTCCCTTTCGTGAATCACTTATCGAATTTAATTCACCAGATGACATTTAAAAATTGTATTTTGATCGTTTGATCTTACTAGCTGCTGTATTCCTCCAGATATTCACATGCAGTTCCGAAGCAAATACGCTGAGCTTTTGCATTACATAACAGAAATGTTCATAAACAAAACAGCAGGTGATAGTTCCAAGTAATTAT